CATGCGTCCGCGCCGCCCATTGCGGCGCACCCATCGCGCGCTTCATGGCCCCGTACGGATCCCCGCGTAAAGCCCCCGCGGCGACGTTGACATACGTCGGCGCCACCCATGGCGACGCGCCCCTCACACGGCCCGCAGCCCCATGGGGGGCTCCGCCAAATCCACCCAGTGGCGACGTCCACATGCGTCCGCGCCGCCCGCAACGGCGCACCCCTCAAACGTTTCGCGCCGTCATGGGGAGCTCCACCCAAGACCGCAGCGGCGATGTTACATGCGCCGACGCTCCATAGGGTGCCCCACCGAAGGCCTCAGCGGCGGCGTTTACATACGCCCGCGCAGCCCATGACAGCGCACCCGCGCGCCGTTCGTGGCCACGCAGCGAGCTCCCTGTACGGCACCACCGGCGATGTTTGCATGCGCTTGCGCCGCCCATGACGGCGCGCCTGTCACAGTGTTCATGGCCCCAAAGCGAGCGCCGCCGAAGGCCCCAATGGCGACGTGCACATGCGCCCGCGCCATTCATTACGGCGCGCACTTCGCGCGGTCCGCGGCCCCATAGGGAGGTCCACGTAAGGCCCCAGTGCCGACGTATGCGCGCGCCCGCGCCCCCAAGAAGGGCACACCGCTCACGCGGTTCGTGGCCACGTAGGGAGCTCCGCCTATAGCTCCACTGGCGACCTCTGCGTGCACCCGCGCCACGCATCACGGCGCACCGCTAACGCGTCCCGTGGCCCCACGGGGAGCTTCGCTTGAAGCCCCGACGGCGACGTTTACGCGCGCCCGCGTCGCCCGTTACGACGCGCCCCTCAGACGGCTCGTGGCCCATGAGGAGCCCCATCTAAGGCCCAAGTGACGACGTTAGCATGCCCCCCCCCTCCCCGCCCCCTCCCCCCACACCCTCCCATTCACTCCGCCCGCCCACCCACCGCGACCGCCAGCATCAACACACACACACACACGCACGCACACACGCGCACACACACATGCCACCACCACCACCACCACCATCGCCACCACCACCACCACCCACCACCACCAGCACCACACTTATACACACCACACACACCAACACACACACACAGACACGCGCACGCACGCACACACACACACACCAACACACACAGACCACACACACACACACACGCATTGTGGCGCACCCCGCGCGCGCTTCGTAGCCGCATGTGGAGCTGAAAGGGACGCGCCAGTGACACTTGCCGATGCGTTGCCCCGTAGGAGGTTTCACCGAGGAGGGTGTTCACAAGTGCTGCGCTCCCAATTGCACATGGTATGGCTTTTCGTCACGATGAGTATATACCAGCTCTACGTCGTCCTACTACCACATGCCATACACTGGTTTCACATGACTCTTTCCTGTTCTGGAGTACTCGTCGGTGCTCATGTGGGTTTCGCGCTTCGTTGCTCAGGAGCCAGTCGTACTCGATTCACCTTCCGCATTACTGGAACAAACTTGCTCGACGCATACACTAACTCTCGTGTTTTCTCTGGTCTATTCCTACCCTATGGAGATTACGTCCAGTCTGCTGCTCTGTGACGCGTATCGGTACCCTGCTTTATTTCTATAATGTGCATACTCTAGCGGTGATGCGCTCGTTGTCTACTCCTCTCTTACTTAGGGAGGGGGAATAAGGAGGTGCCCGCGCCCATGTTATTGCTGTTTTGTTTTGTTTTTCGCAGCCAACGAAATGTTCAGGATTGTGGCCTCACACAAAGTTCAAAATCTCACGGACGAGCCTGGACCACATGCAGCCTCGATGGGCGACGTTGCCGCAGTTGCTTGCTGCGACATGAGGCGGGCGTGGTTCCCACGCGCCACTCCAGCCATGCCGACCGTCGGCGCCGTCCTTCCCCTACTCTTCTAATGTCCCTCTGGCACATCATCATTCTCAATCGTATCCTCCTTGGTTCGATCCCGCCTCACATGTCTTCGGATCTCTCGCATCGCCCACCCCCATTCATCAGCATCATATTTTCCAGCCTTCCCCATCGTGAACAAAAACACACCAAATAAAATTTTACTTGATTTTTCAATTCGTATGTAATTCAATTCTGTAGTCGTTGAGCTATATGAGTCCTCAGAGATCGATGGAATATGATCCTAGTTGGCACGCGATTTATCAGAATGCTCAGATAACTTGCGATATTTTGTCCACCGACTGTCCCTCTCACCCAGGGTCACTTTTGCGTGTAGCCGAGGAAGGCGCGGTCCGCGGGTGGTCTCCTCGCCTTTCTTGTCCTCCTCGCCCCCGTCCAGGAGGCGTGCCCTCGCCGGCGCCCGCGGCTGGTCGATGCGCCACTCGGAGCCTGCTCGGTGTCCACGGCGGCAAACGGATCGATGATCGTGATTCCAAGACCACTTTGGCAGCTGCACAGGTACGGTTGAGGGAAAAAATGAAGCGACACTCCCTCCTCCCCCCGCAATTCAAAGTTGGCACGTATACGCATCACTGGTCCGACACTCAAGGTCGGGAGATCCGAGCCGAACAGTGCATTCGGGGGGCGGGGGGGGAGTTCACACCATATGTTATGCGTGAGTGCTGCTCAAGTGTTTCCGACACCTGCAGTCTGCCACGAACTGCAACTGGCGACGCCAGGCGGGGCCCTTGGCAGGACCACTGGAAGAGGCCCTGGAGAGCGCAGGGTGCGGCACCTGTGGAATACCGAGGCGCCGCAGGAGTTTTTGGATTCAAGATGCTAACACCATGCTACCAGCTCCCCGAAAGGTGGATGGGTGAATGGAATTATTGCAGTTTCCCTTGTCCCCGGCAGCCTATGCAGAAACGATGCCCAGGCGAACAGTCAGGAGCAGGGAAGTAGATGAGCATGCAGTGAAACAGAAAGGCCAACAATGCTAGACTTACCAAGTTTCAGGGAGCCTTCAGCCTTGGAGGCTTCTTGGAATCATCCTGGAGGTCTCTTGGGGCCCGTCTGGGAGCCTTGGAGACTCTTGAGAATCTTTGTTGGGGCCCCACTGGGGTCCCCTGGGGCCCTCTTGGCGCGCCATCCTGGAGGTCATCGTTTCAACAAGGGGGTGTCTCAGATGAGTGCCAGCCGCTTGGAGCCTGACAGTTCGTCTCTTGGGCCCTGGTGGGGCGCTCTTGGGGGCCGTCTTGGAGCGCTTCTGGACGCCTTCGGAACTCTCTAGAGCGATTTTGGGATCAGCTTGAGGCCTCAGAAGACCATCGGAAGCGAACGGGCGAGAAGGCAAGGCGGAACACCCGATTGGGGCCTCTATGGCGCTTCCGTCCTGGAGGTCCTGTGACTAGCTGTCTTGTGGCCCCTTGTTCGTGCAGGAGCTCTTCTTCTGGAGCCGTCTTGGAGGGCATCCTGGGCATCCTGGACGCGCTGGAGGGCGGATCGGGAGGCTCGGAGGGTCGAGAGATGCGCCGAGCTCGTGCACCTTTGGCCCCCCCGCCCCTCAAAGGACAGTTCGGACGCCTGGGGAGATACGTTTTGTGGGAATTCGTATCTTCAGGCAGGTGTGCTCTTCTCCCCCCTTCCTCGCTCCCCCCTCTGCCCGAGTCCGGGGCTATTGCAGGTTTTTGCCTTCATCTCTGCACTGCGGCCGGCTCTCGTCGCGCGTTCATTCCCCTCAGCTTTCCTCCTTCTTCTCCCAAAATAGAGCTTGGACAAAAAAACAAAAAAAGTTTGGACGCCTGGGGAGGGGAAGAAGGTGGAGGGGGGCAGCAGACAGGCGTGGGAAACAGGTGAGCAGCACTCGCGCATATCATGTGGTGTGACCTCCCCCCGAATTCAATGTTAGGCTCGGCTCTCCCGAGCTTGAGTGTCGGAGCAGTGATGCGGATACGTGCCAACTCTGAATTGCGGGGGGAGGGGGGAGTGTTGCTTCATGTTGTCCCTCAACCGGATCATTTCAACCGCCTTATCATCCCCCGTCGAGCGAGGGTCGGCGAATTTTTGTTCGAGCTGGCGCATTACGGAGATCCTTGCGCAGGGTTTGTGGGCGCATCGAAGGGCCAGCGATCAGAATGCGAGGGGAAAGGGGCGAGCAGTCGGAAGTGAAACGGGGTGTCCTCCGTGATAAACCAAGAGTGCGTGCGCTTGCTACTCGATGGTCGAACATGCGCAGCTGGTTCTGCTGCCAACGAAGCACTTTGATCAGGTCTTATCCATATTCGCCTTCTGGAGCCTTACTTGGATGCAACGCGCAGGCTGTCCTTCAGCCGAATCAAATCGTCAACGTTCTGGCAAAATACGGTTGTTTTCACATGTATCCGTCCGTGCAGTGCGGCGAATGATGCATTATCCGCCTTTGGTTTCAGCGGCTTCCGGCGAACATCCTTTGCCAGTTGTGGGATGGCCGGGGGCAGGCGTGTAAAGACGAGGGAGAGGGGAAGGGTTGAAGAAGAGGGGGAGCGGGAGCGGCAGACGGAGGACGAGGACGTGTGCGGCGAAGAGAAGGTGGGGAGAGGGGTAGGCGGAGGAGGAGGAGGAAGAGGAAGAGGAGGAGGAAGAGGAGGAGGAGGAGGAGGAGGAGGAGGAGAAAGAGGAAGAGGAGGAGGAGGAGGCGGAGGAGGCGGAGGAGGAGGAGGCGGCCCTGACGCATCAAGCGCTCGCTCACGCGGCTTGGCCAAGAGAAAGGAGGCGGCCAGGCACGAAGGACAGCAGATGGACCGGTTCCAGTGTGTGGGATGCGGAGGGGCGGCACGATCGGGGCGTTTGGGCAGAGTCGGTGTTGTTGCCCTGGGGCGATTCGCTCTTTGAGCACCTCCCACCTCCCCTCCCTCTTGCTCCTTCGTTGGTGTCTGAGCAAACGGGAGAGAAAGAGAGAGAGAGGGAGAGGGATATGGACATGGAGAGGGGAAGGAATAGAGAAAGGTGAGGGACAGAGAGAGAGAGAGAGATAAGGACAGGCTAGGGAGATGCACAGAGTGCGCAAGCGCAGCGTCTTGTATACTGCGGCGCGAATTGGGCTCAACGGCGACAGTGGTTCGCGCTGGCTGGAAGCCGGGGTTCGCCAGGTCACGGGCACGACCATGACCGCAACGTACACGGCGACATCCAGGAGATGCGCAAAACGTTATGAGCCTGTGCCTCGTGCGGCTGAAGCAGTGGCAACTTATCTTTGCACTTGTGTCGTCGTCCTCAAAACCATGTTTCACGCGTGAAGCACCAGGCAGTGACCCAGTCAGGGAGTGCGAGCGTGCTGCTAGAGGTGCCAGAAGCGTGAGCCGGGCAATTAGCATGCTGCGCTACGAGCTACGTCCTATGTATGTTGCTCCCGTGGGTTAAGGATAGTTATGATTTGCCTCTGAGCTGGCGACAACACGCACACAAACCGGGCCCACTTCTCTTGATTGTTGCTTTTCTTTTGCTACTACTTGATGCAGTTTTCAGGTCCTGGGGGGCAAATCTTCGTCGCCAGGCCGTGCTGTTGAGCTGGTGCAAGCGAGGCTTCGTGCGTCGGCTTACCGATACAGGCTGGCGAGTTCTCTTTGCTAGTAATGTCATGTGAATGTTCCGAGTCTTGAGGCTTTCTGCGTTCTAGAGGTTCTTGTGAGGCCACTTGCGGGGTTCAAGCTTGTTTCGAGGTCCCTGGGCGCGTGGACTAAGAGCTGCGCGATGCTCGGACAGCCTGTTCGCCTCAGGATTACAATTCCTGACGCAACGACGGAGCCGGTGAACTTCGACTGCAACGCCAGCCTAGAGCAATGGAGGGGGGAGGGGCAACGGACGGGGGAGGGATGGGGGAGGGAGGGCGAAGGAGGAGAAAGGATAGCGGATGAGGGAGGAGGAGAGGCATGAGGGAAGTGAGGGGAAGGGAGGAGGAGGAGGAGAATGAGGAGGAGGAGTAAGAGGAGGAGGAGTGGGAAGAGGAAGAGGAGGAGAAGGAGGAGGAGGAGGAAGAGGCGGAGGAGGAAGAAGAGAAGGACGACCAGAGGAAGATAGAGTAAACCAGAGATGCTTCAGGGATGCTGCAATACACCCTCCCGTCCCAACTCCCCTCCTCACACGTTCATAGAGGTCCCCCTTGTCACTACGAAATATGCCCACCTTGAAAGACCGGCACAGGATGGCTGCAAGGTTGTCGAGCGCCGTTTTGAACATGAATTGCCTTGCTTCTTCCTGGCGCGCAAGCAGGAACGCGAACAAACATGATCATACAAATTCAACGGGGTGTCCAGCGGGATTCCCCTTCCGACGAAGGATCGTCCCCCCCCCTCTGTTACTGCTGCACAAGCTTACCCTTGTGCTAATGAACTTCGAGGAAGTCTCGGGCGACATATACTAGGCAAAGAAGACAGCCGCCCTGGATTCGTACAGTGCTACACGTGTTGAGTTTTTGGGTCTTTGAAGTTAGCGCAGTTTCTTGCGAGAACCCCTGTTTGAAAAAGAACAGCCCTCCATCCGTCCAAACGTTGTATGAAAAACGAATGGGCGCGGCGCTGAGGCGAGAGGCTTATTTTTTGAAGACGGTCCTGATCAATCCTTCAAGCTGGTGAAAGATTTTAAGACGATTTTGCGCAGCGTTCAAGGGAGTGCCCCAATAAGAAAAGAGACCGCCCTCCAACCGTGAATCGATTGCAGCATGTTCAAAAGAAGGTGCGCGGCGCTGAGGCGAGAGCCACATTTTTTAAATTGATTCCTCCATCTTTGAAGCTGCTGCCAATCGAGATGTGCGCGACGCTCAGGCGAGAACCACATATTGAAAAGGAATGGCCGTCCATCCGTAGCATTGTTGCACATGCTTCAGGTGAGTGTGCGCGGCGCTGAGGCGAGAGCCACATCGAAAACGAGCCTCTTGCTATTTTTCTTAGCGCTGCGAGATTTTAAGACGAGCGTGCGCGGCGCTAAGGCGAGAGCCACAGTTTCAGCCCCACCTCGTCCTTGACACTGGTGCAAGGTTTTAGGCCTCAGATTTACAAGTGGCGGGGAAGTCTCAGCGAAACGCCCGGCCTGCCCTACCGACACGTCCGGGGGTGTGGCAGTGACGAGTTATTTATATAGAAAAGACAGGGGTTGGAGGAGGCAGATGCGGAGGGAGGGGAGCGTGGAGGGGGAATTTGGGAGAGTGGACTGGGGAGAAGAAAGGGGTGGGAGGGAGCATAAGGAAGGGGGGGCAGGAAGGGAGGGAGGAAGGAAGGAAGGACGGACTCAAGAAACAAGAAGGGATGACAGAGGGACAGAGGAGAGGAGAGGGAGGGAGGGCGGGCGGACGGGAGGAGGAGGAGGCAGGGATGCGGGAGGAGGGAGGTAATTAGGGATGCAGATAGGAAGGGGGGGTGGGAAGGAGACGAAGATTACGTAGAGAAAGGGGAAGGGAGGAAGGATGAAGCAGGAGATTGGGAAGAGGGAGGGAGGAGCGGGAACGGAGTGGAGGAGCTCGGAGCTGCGGGGCCATCGAGGCCGCGCCCAGGCATCGGCCGCAGCTGCTCCCCGCTCGCCGCTCCCGCAGGCACGCGCGGGGGGGCTCGGCGACACGCTGGGCCGCCGTGGGCCCGAGCCGGCGGCGCGACACGCTCTCGCCGAGGGGCGTGCCGCCGCTCCTCTCCACGGGGCGGGCGGCTGGGGAGCGCCCAGGGCGCCCTCTGCCTCCCGGGGCCCCGGGCGTGGCCCGCGCGGCGTGCCCGAGCGCCGTCGGGCCCGAGCGCCAATGGCGCGGCACGCTCCGCGCAGAGGGCTTCAGAGCGAGCGCGCGCGTGGCTGCAGGCTGGCGCCTCGCGGCCGGCACGCGGGGGCCAGTGCGCGGCGGGGCGCGGGCGGCCACGAGGGGCAAGCAGTGGCGAAGCGTCCTGGTTCGCCTGTAGCCCTACCAAACACTGTTCTAAGAACCTTTTGTGGTTTCGACGAAATGTTCTTAGAACATTTCTGGCGGAGTCTGTCTTGTTTTATCACATCGGGTATATGTTCTAAGAACATTGTCTTTGTTCTTAGAACATTGTGGGGTTCTACGAACATTTCGTGGTAGGGCTATAGGAATGCCGGGACGGTCGGTCCCTGCTCAAGAGGGGCCCGGGGCCCCAGGGGGAGCCCAGGCCCCGAGGCCCAGGGCCTGCCAATGGCCTCGGTCGACTGCACGCAAGTGACACGTCGTCTTGTGGAGGACGATGAAAGTAGAGGAAGCAGGTTGCCAAATAGTTGCCAGATGTCTAAAACATGTGTTAAACATGATTTAAACATATGGACAAACATGTTTGTAACATGCCTAGAACATTATCCGACATTTTAAGCACATTTAATTCAATCATAGGACTGTTAGGGTGTCCATTGTCGTGGCATCCAAGTAGTCGGCCGAGGATTCTGGTTTGTGGCAACTCGAGAATTCAAAACAAGCACTGGACGAGCCCAAACTGCTGCCCCGCCCACAGGGTGCGGTGCGATGGCGGGATGACCTTAAAAAGTTCTGGTGCGTGGCTTTTTTCTTCCTCCCGAAGAGTGACCCTTCGCCGGAGTGTTGGTGCGGGCCCATGCGATGCTGGACGCGATGCGATCGTAGCGTTTTTGCGCGACTGTGTCTGGTCCCCCCGCGGCCCCAATAATTAGAAAGCCGACTCGGGGTCCAGAGAGCCCTTCAGATCCAGGCGTTGCAATTCCGCAGCAGGACTTTTCGCCAGGTCTCGGGCACCAGGACCCTCACAGATCGCTCCAGCTCGAAAACTGGGGGGAGGAGGAGGAGGAGGAGGAGGAGGAGGAGGAGGAGGAGGAGGAGGAGGAGGAGGAGGAGGAGGAGGAGGAGGAGGGGGAGGGGGAGGAGGAGCGGAGGAGGAGAGGAGGAGGAGGAGGAGGAGGAGGAGGAGGAGGAGGAGGAGGGGGAGGAGGAGGAGGAGTGAGGAGGAGTGAGGAGGAGGAGGAGGAGGAGGAGGAGGAGGAGGAGGAGGAGGAGGAGGAGGCAGATGGGGCCCAGGGTTCCCGTCGTGATCTGTGGCGATGCTCTCATTCTGTTGGCAGCGTCGGGCCTCGGGAGCCGGCCGGGCGCCCCTCGATGTCGAGGCGGCAGCTCCGATCCCCCCCCCGCCCTCGCCAATTTTTGGTGCGCGCCTGTGGCCCTGCACCACCCCGGGCCCGCGCCTCGGGGGCATGAGCGCTGCGCCGCGGTCGCCGGCGCGGGCCCCGCGCCGCGGGGCGCAGCGGCAGCGGTGGTGGCCGGGCGGGGGCCCGCGCCGCCGCGGGTCGCCCGCGCGGGGGCCGTTCCCGGCCCGGACGGTGGACCTCCCGGGAGGCCCTGTAGGGGTCGACCAGACACAAGGGTGACCTTTCGCCGGAGTGACTTTTGGTGCGGGCACGATGGGGCCCCCCGGCCGCCGAGCGCGATGCGGCAGCGGCGTCTTGTGCGTGCGTATTTGGTGCACCCGCGGCCCCCCAGAAGCCGCGCACCAAAGGTCACTCTTACCCAGGGTCACTCTTGCGTGTAGCCGACTAGGGGAGGTCCTCCCTCTCTCTCATTCTCTCTCTCTCTCTCTCTCTTTCCCCGCCACCTGCAACAGCATGCGCGAGGCCACTGGCTGCTGCACGAGGTGGGGCCCATAAATCGCGAGGCAATCGGCTCCACCACCCCTCGCGCGGGTGCGGACCAGGGAACGACTCGGCACCGCGCGACACGCGGCTGCTGTGGCGGGCCCCCGAGGGGTTGGCAGTCCTGGGCGAGCCTGGCGCGCCGATCGAGGCCGCGGGCACAGGGGCTGGATGTCTGCGAGGAGCCGCGCTGGGCAGGCCCACGAGAGGCGCCAGAGCAGAGCAGAGCGCACCCGAAGGCCACCGACTGCTTCTCCCTCCCCGGCGCGATCGCCTCGAAGGTAGAAGCTGGGCTCCAGGCTTCTCGTCGCAGGCTGTGTGCCATTTCCCCGATGATCAGGCTTCGCCGTGACGCATCGAGAGCGCACTCCAGTATCTCTTCCGTCTACCCCCCTCAGATCCAGAGCAGCAGCGGGTGGAATGCAACGGAGCGTCACAGGAGACGGAGGCCCTGACGTGTCGTGCTGCATGTGGTTGGGCGCCCTTGAACTCAAAACGTTTTACTATTTGCCATCGGCTTGTTGGTGCTGCACGGCTCGATGGCTCGAATGTGAGGCGGCCTCAGTCAGCGGCCTCTTGGCAGCAGGTCATCTCCTGGCGGCCGCAGTGCGCGGCGTAGCCTCTTGGCTGGTCGTAGTTTTGATCCAGCTTGCGTTGTGGTGCATCAGGCCTCGTCCCGACCTGTGTCGACTTAATATACCGTCATCGTGGTGCTCTTCGCATTGCTCTTCTACGTTCTTGTGAGCTACGGCGGGGTATGCTTGGCGCTTTGCTCGCTCGATGGGCACAAGGCCTAGATCGAGTTCATGAGGCCCGTCGTTCACGCTAAGTTCAGCAGGTGCAACGGATCGACGGGGCAGCTGCTCGGGTGTAGCGCAGCATCGCGTAGCGTCGCCGACCAATTCCACTGCCGCTGTGGTCGGCATGGGCCTCAGCGGAGGCAACGAAGCTGCAGCGCGAAGGAGGAGTCTCGGTGGCCACGTCGGTCCGCAAGTGTCAGCCCGACTATAAGCTTGGCGGTGGAGACCCATGCAGTAGTGTATCAGTTCGAACGAAGGCGAGGCTGGCATCTACCAGGGGGGGTTCGAGCGTTTCATCGACTTGATGAACATTTGTTGCACATGCGGGGGGTCTTCTTAGCACTCTGGCGACGAAGCGCTATTCTTCTCCGGACAACATGTCAGTCGAGCTGTTGCGGAATATTTCGGTGGAACAGAAGCCCCACAACGAGCCGGAGATCGACATCCGTGGGCTCATCACAGTCAAGTGGCTCGTCAGGACAATGCTCGCGCCCACCGCCAGGGAGGAACATAACGCATAGTATCTCGGCAAGAACGAGTATGCCAATTCGGCGCACAAATCAAAGCTGCCGGGGTTCGCAGGCCAGCATGGCGGGCGGGCGCTTCTGCGAAATTGCGACCCATAAGGCCTAGCAAGAGCAGGATGGGCCGGAGTGAGGACGATCTCGAGATGTCGCTCTGCACAGATTCGGAGTAGCATAATTTGATGAACGCCGACGGCCAGCTTGGCCACCAGTCCGCCAGAGATCCCTGCCACCAGCAGACTGTTTGGGACATGAGTGCAGCATCGAAGTGCAGGATGCGCTTCACGCCCACCAGCGTACGGCCAAGCCCACGCGGCTCTCCTCATCTGCAACGTCGTGGTTTACTGCACTTTGAGGCCGCTGGATGTGGCTCCCGCTCTGCGCAGAAGGAGGGCCGCAGTCCAGGAACGAGGGGCGCCACAATCAGGGACAGCGACATCGCATCGGATCGAGCGCCCGTGCGCCGTCTCCTCCTCCACCACCTTCTCCTCCTCCTCCTACCTCGGCCGGGGGCTGCAGCACAGGTAGAACCTGCCCCGCCGCCCTGCTCCTCTCCACAATGCTGCCCGGCCTTCCCATTTCGTCGAAGGGAGTGCAGTAGCAGCAGCAGCAGCAGTGACAGTTGAGGTTAGTTGGCCTGGGCTCCTCTGGGCACGCTCCACCTACCTCAGGAGGGAAAGAAACACACAGACACAATTAATCGTCGACTCCCAGGAAAATATAGGAAAATATGGGAAGTGGGGGGGAAGACAGAAACCCAGAAAATATGGGAAAATATGAGGACTATTTTTATTTGTGTGTATTTATTTGTGTGTCCTAATTTCCCTTTACTACCCCTCAGCCGAGGTGTGCAGCCCTGCCTTCCGTTGCACATCTTCCGCCGCCACGGCCGAGCCCGCGAGCCCATGCCACGGGAATTGCTCACAGCGAGAGCTCCATGGCCCCATCGGCCAGGCGTGGTCTTCATGTGCACTCGTGGCAGCGCGTGCCACGAGGTTTGACCCCTCCGCCCGCCTCCTCCGCCCGTCCCGTGCCCCCTCCGCACGGTGCCTCGAACACGAGGCTGAGCGGCATACCCGCCTGGCCTCGCAGGGCAAGGCCCCTTGCAGGTGAGCGCTGTGCAGTCGCCTCCTGGGGCTTGCCCGTTGTCTCCGTCGTGTCGCCGCTGTCTCGTCTGGCGTGTCGTCGCTTTCTTTTTGGGCCTGGCCCCCACGCGCGGGCCTCGCCACGCTTGGAGTCTTGAGTCCCGTGCCCCCCCCCTGCGCCGTCCTCGTTTTCATCGGCATCTGGGCGGGGATGGGGGCGCCCGCCGCGCAAGCCGCCCAGCCCGTCCGCCGCGGGGAGGCGCAACGAGTGGTCGGAGGGCAAGATGGACTGGTGCTGCCAGCGCTACGGCCAGCCCTTCGGCAGGGGGCGGGGTGGGTGGGTGGTCAGGGAGGCTCCTCCTCCTCCTCCTCCTCCTCCTCGTCCTCCTCCTCCTCCTCCTCCTCCTCCTCCTCCTCCTCCTCCTCCTCCTCCTCCTCCTCCTACTCCTACTCCTCGTCCACGGCCTCGCCCTTGTCCTCCTCCTCCTCCTCCTCCTCCTCCTCCTCCCCCTCCTCCTTCCGTAGCCATTTTGGCTCAAGGTTCCTATGTTGCTTGGCATAGCGCCAAGAGGCTTCCACGGCATACCCTTGTTCCAGGGCCAATTCAGGATCGCCTTTACGCTTTCCCTACGTATCCACGCGGGATTGATTTTTTATGGTGCCGCGGCCACTTCCATATTGGCTTTTGAGATTCACGGTCCAGTGGTCCACGGCGAGCTCCAGACATGCCCGAGACGAACGACCTCGCCACCATTCGTGATCGCCGTGAACGAAGCCCTCGTAATAACAAAGACCCTTGGCAAGATGCAGCACAAAAGGAAAGGCTCGACCAATTCCGCTCCGAGATCGAGAAACATCTGGCCCTTCAAGTTGCTGATGCGGCTGAGCAATTCAAGGCTACCGCAGAGAAAGTTGCCGCCTCGTCTCAAGCCAGCTTCATCACGCACATCACCAACGTCACAGCCAAGCTCACCGAACGCAACGACCACGCCGAGAACGACATCGTCTCCCTCAAGCAGCGCATCTCCGCTTCCGAAGTGGAATCCAAGAACCTCAGCGACGCGGTTGACAAGCTCAAGACCTCCATTGCCCACGCTGAAGCCCAGGTTCCCTCGCTCGACGTCAGCAACATCGGATCGTGGGGCAGGGCACCACACATCGGCACCTTCTGGATCGGCTCCACCGTGGACATCACTCAAGCAGCTCTCAAGTCGTCCACCGCCGAATGGTTTTCGGCGGCAAATATCGACGTGTCTATGGTACGCTACAGCAACTCCGCTCCTGCCACACGTGTTTCCATCACTGTATTCGGAGCCGATGCAGTCGCTGTACCACGTGCTCGAGCTCTTCACCATCACCTGCGCGTTGGTCGGGACTGGCGCACATTCATGCTCGGCGGCGCCCCGTGCTATGTCAGCGCAGACAAGAGCCCCAAGCTCGTCAGGCAGGAGATCCAGCTCAAGAAGCTGGCAAGGATCGTCAACAACGCCAAGCAGGACCTCAGCCCCAAGATCCACCGCGCCGACGGCCACCTCTCCATCGACAACGTGCCCATCGTCCGCATCCACGTGGGCTCCCGCCCTGAGATCGCGACCAAGATCCAATGGTCTGATGCTGCTGATGGTGTCGGCCTCACCCCTGCTATGCGGTCTTCTTGCGCCGACGCCCTTGCCGCTGTCTTCGCGGACGCAGCCACTTCAGTGTCGTGGATTTAACAGCAAGTGGTCTCCATGGAACGCGACTACCACATCATATATGACCGAATGCTCGGTGGTCAGCTGGAACGCCCAGGCGCTGGTACACTCGAACATCGTCAAGCGCGACGCCAAACTCTCCATCCTCAAGCCCTACCTTGCCAAGCGCTCCCTCATTGCCATCCAGGAGACACACGGCACCTCGCAGATGATCCACAGCCCCATCAACTCCACGGGCTCCAAGTACGACGTCTATCACAGCAGCATCCCCGACTCCAACGCGGCGGGCGGCGTCGCCTTCCTCATCCCAAAGTTCGTCCCCAGCAGCGACCAGGACAACACCAAGCCGCTGATCAACTTCTCCGTGATCATCCCAGGCCGAGCTGCCGAACTGCGCATCCGCGACCCCAGCCTGGCTTACCTCCATATCTACCTCAACATTCATAACCGTGATCTTTCCGCATATGACCGAAGTCGGCTCAAGACCACGTGGCAAGTGGCACTGAATGAAGCCAACAACGATCCTGAACACGTGATGTTCTTCATGCCCGGCGACTTCAATATCTCTGAACTACATGCTCGCATCTACTACGCCCTGTCGAAGTTCCTGCTCACGAACGATACCAGTTCCAGCCCACCTTCTGGAAGCAGCTCTTCCGCCCGCTGGTCGAGATCTGCACGCCGTCTACCACCCACCGCTGCTACGCGAACAACACCGAGTCGAGCATCAACCGCTTCTTCACCTCCTTCCTGGCACACAATCTCACCCACATTGAGACGATCATGGTTGCCGACGACTCGCCACTTGAACGAAAGGGAGTACCTGCCAGTGACCATAAACTTCTTCATGTTCGATTCCGCCCTCGAATTCAACGGCCCCATGCAGAACGCGGCATCCCCGCCTACCTCTTCAACTCCGACTTCTACAAGCTCTTCATCGACAAGCTCTCCGCCGACACCGAGTACGACACGCTCGCGCCTATCAACAAGTGGCGCACGCTGAAATCCAACATGACGAACGCTGCGACAGCCACGCGAGATGCTCTTGCGCGGCTACCTCCTGAAGTTCTTGCACGCGACCATCTCTCGATCTCCAAGGAAGTCAACTCGATGACCATGAGAAGCATCTCGCGCGCGATCTGGTACCAGGACATCAAGCTCGCGCACCTCCTTATCGACACCACCCACCCGGGCTCCAAGCACTTGCAGATCATCATCGACAACTCTACCGACATCCCGTCGAGCAAGATTTGCCTTATCAACACCAACACCTTCGCCAGTGCCGCTGCTGAAGCACATGCTGCAGTCGCTGAAGAACGCCGCGCCCTCGCTGCCGCACGCGCCCGTGATGCATATCAACGTCTTCAGCGTCAACAAGGGGACAGGTGGCGGAAACGGGCCAGTGCCACACGCAGACTTGGAGAGCTGTGGAAGCCCTTCTCCAAGCGTCTGGTGCTCGCTGGTATCCGAATTTCCCAAGGCGGCTCCTCCGGCATTGCCAAGACGCCGACGGACATGCACGACGCTATCCTAGCGCATTGGGGCCCGATCTTCGCTGACAAACCAGTGAAAATCGCCAACATGAACGACTACCTGGACTCTGTCTTCACCCAGCGCGCCACTGTTGCGCTGGAACTCCCCAACGCTGAAGAACTACAAGACGCAGCAAAAAGAGCACATGACTCCGCCGCAGGTCCTGACGGTCTTCCTTACAAAGCTTGGACGTCCACTCCCAACAGCTTCGAGATCCTGGAAGAGCTCGTGGCCAACATCTCGGTCAACAACATCATCCCGCACGATTGGAACCACGCACTACTCGCCATGCTTCCAAAAGGTGATGTGCCTGCAGGACACTCTGAATGCTATCGGTCGCCAGACCAACTCCGCCCTCTCGCGATGAAGAACACCGACGTGAAGATTGCCGCCTCCGCCGTCAACCGCAAGCTCCACCCGATAGTCAAGCAAGTGTCGAGTATCCAACGGGGTTTCGTTCCTGGCCGCCAATTCCTCAACAACATAGTCGAAGCCGACACGCACAGCCGCATCTACAGCACCATGGACAACGCCGCTGACCTCATGCCGTGCTTCCTCAGCATGGACATTGCCGCCGCCTTCCCAAGCCTGCTTCACACATGGTTATGTGGAGTGATTCGCAGATGGGGGATTGGTGGCCGCGTTCTTCGCCTCCTCCAGTCCTTCTACGCCTCGCCCATCGCCTTCCTGGAGCTGGGAGGCACACGTCGACCACTACTCGTTGCAGCCGGCGGCGTCGCTCAGGGCTGCCCACTCAGCGGCACCATCTGGGCCTTGGTATTCGACCCCATCCTACGCGGAATTCAGCGCCACTTTTCACAGATTGGCCGTGGCATGGCCAGCGCTTGTGCCGACGACATTGGTTGTGTTTCGGCGCGCTTGCGTGACATGCAAGGCATCCTGCCGCATACTGAGGCGGCCCACACCTTCGCGGGGCTGCTGCTCCAGCCTCGGAAGTGCGTGCTCGTCCCAGTCTGGACCAACAGCTTCGAAGACGTCGACAACACCATGCGCGACACGCTCGGGGCGATCAACCCCGCCTGGGCCCACTTCAAGATCGACGGCAAGGCCAAGTACCTCGGAGTCTACATCGGCCCGTGTGCTGACGATCGTGCACAATGGGCCGCCCCAACTGCCAAGTGTTACCACCGCACCCAGATACTGGGCGACTCCTCCGCGGCCATCCAGCTGAACGTCTCGCTGTACAACACCTCCTCGATCACATGCCTCACCTACGTCGGACAACTGTTTCCAGCTCCAGAACTCGTTCTCTCTAAAGAAATACATGCCCTTCATAAAGTTATCAGATCAGCTCCTTCAGCATTCACCAAGCTCGACATTCTCGGCATGACGAACTGGGCGGGTTGCGCCATCCCCATCGGCGTCGAGGTCCTGCTGGGCGCCACGCTGTGGCGCTCTGCTACTTCCACCATCTACGTCTGGCCCCAGCTTCTCGAGCTACACCATCAGGCAGCAGGTGAACAGCTTCCACTCGCACACGTTGTCCAGGGACTCTGGACCGCGCCGTGCTGGGCCTCCGCTACCTCGATCGCGCAACACCTGCGGGCGGCCAAGTTCGGCGACAACTACTCCACCCACAAGGGCACCATCTTCAAGATCATCAGACGCAGCCGCCACCACGATCATCATGCACACCGCCATCTACGCCAAGCTCATGAACTCGCCCGTGCCGCTGCTCTACGCGTCCTTGACAGACTTCGCTGCGCTGAAGATGATCCTCCGAAGAAGTCGCCACAGTCCACATACATGATCACGCTGCAGCGCTCGCTCTACGACGACTCTTTCGACGCCACCATCGCCGCCCGCCTGCGGGCCTGGTTCCCCACCCTCCCGTCGGCGCCGTCTGCAGCCACATCCGACTCAGGACGCCTCCAACGATTTCCGCCACTACATCTACAAGTTCCCAGCACGCCTGATGATGATGACAGCGACAGGCGCAACGCAGCCAACGAGCTCGAGACCATCGCCGAATGCCTGCAGCATTGGGCCGCCGACTGGCTGCCTTCGATATACCTCACACAAAAACAGCATGAATGGGGCGTTGATGACTGGCACGAATGG